AAGGATAGCATGTAATCGATGTTACTATTGTTATGTTTAAATGAATGCATACCATCATGACTGTTAATCAGAGGAGGTTACAAGGATAGCATGTAATCGATGTTACTATTGTTATGTTTAAATGAAGGCATACCATCATGACTGTTAATCAGAGGAGGTTACAAGGATAGCATGTAATCGATGTTACTATTGTTATGTTTAAATGAAGGCATACCATCATGACTGTTAATCAGAGGAAGTTTCAAGGTAGCATGTCATCGATGTTACTAATGTTATGTTTAAATGAAGGCATACCATCATGACTGTTAATCAGAGGGGGTTACAAGGATAGCATGTCATCGATGTTACTAATGTTATGTTTAAATGAAGGCATACCATCATGACTGTTAATCAGAGGAGGTTACAAGGATAGCATGTCATCGATGTTACTATTGTTATGTTTAAATGAAGGCATACCATCATGACTGTTAATCAGAGGAGGTTACAAGGATAGCATGTCATCGATGTTACTATTGTTATGTTTAAATGAAGGCATACCATCATGACTGTTAATCAGAGGAGGTTACAAGGTAGACATGTCATCGATGTTGCTAATGTTATGTTTAAATGAAGGCATACCATCATGACTGTTAATCAGAGGAGGTTACAAGGATAGCATGTAATCGATGTTACTATTGTTATGTTTAAATGAAGGCATACCATCATGACTGTTAATCAGAGGAGGTTACAAGGATAGCATGTCATCGATGTTACTATTGTTATGTTTAAATGAAGGCATACCATCATGGGTGTTAATCAGGGGGGGTTACAAGGATAGCATGTCATCAGTTTTGCCGGAAGGAGTTTCAGGGTTAAATATACGGAAAGTTTCAAGAAAGATATGTCATCAATGTAACATACGGGAGATTTCAAGGAAGGCATACCATCAAGGTAACACAAGAAGTTTCAAGAAAGGCATGACATCAGGGTAACACAAGAAGTTTCACAAATGGCATACATTGCATCAGGTTTATATAGAAGAAGAGGTTTCAAGAAAAGGACGTCATCAGTGTTACACAGTGAATGTTTCAAGAGAGACATATCATCAGTGTTACACAGTGAAAGTTTCAAGAAAGACATATCGTCAGTGTTACACGGAGAAAGTTTCAAGAAAGACATTTCATCGGGGTTACACAGAAAGAAGAAGTTATTTCCCCTGAAGTAAAGTGTCATTTTTAATTTGGATCATAATTTTGTATACTTCCTTATATTAATTTGCAGCTGTTATGCATCCTCCCGTAAATCACTAACCAGACTTTCAGCTGTCTTTTTATTCACTTTGTAGGCTATACTTGCATGATGCTTCATCCTTGAATTAATGATCTGGATTTTATTTAGCAATCTATACCTGCTAGAGCTACAATAGGTGTTTTAACCATGATTACCTTTAATATTAAATAGCTCTATTGTATCGTAACGGTAGATCACTGAGGTTTGTTCTCCAAGTTTATTCAGTATAACCAAACCCCTGTTGCCCTCATAATCCAATCTTTGTTCAGCTGATATCGTGTAATCTTTATCCACAACATTTATTTCAACGTTCGTGTAAAAACTTAATGGTAATTCTGGAATTTTCGGTGCTGAAATATTTTTTGAAAAATGATATATGTCAGTCAGGATTTCACACAATCGGCTGATCTGTTTCAAATAGATACGTTTTGTTTCGTATATTTTTTTGTTTATTGTACTTGCCATCCACTCTACTCTTTACATGGAAGTTATTCGACGAGGTTAAACTTTTGGACTTGCAAGTCTCCTTATACTGTAGTGATAAATCATCAAACCTACCATCAGCTGATTTAGGTGGAGCATTAGGACATCTATATGATGTTAAACATAGAATCAATGGTAAATTCACCAAAATAGTTATTATCTAAAACATACAAAAGTCTACTCTATTATCGGTGATCTATCGCAATAGTCTACGATACGTTCTGTTGATTTTTTTTTAAATCATTCGCCCATGCTGTACCGTTCACATCCTTACAAAATAAAAATAGATAGTATTATTTTACCATTATAGTTAGAGGCCTACCTTCATTTTAACCATTGATCCATGAAAATTTGAAAAACAGAATTATAATCTCATGACATCTTTTTCTAGCCAAATATGATAAGATATTTATCGTTATCAATGGTGATAAAACAGTTGACTTACACGTCTTGTCCCAAATAAACTTTATTTTACATTAATCATGTTTCTAGAGCGAAAAAATCTAATAGTTTAGTCTACACTTTTAATAGGCACAATTTTTCTCATTGCACTGTCAATATTGACGAAGCCTTTCAAATTGAATCATTTCAGTAACTTCAATCATGCCCCCACCCCAACCATTTGATTCCATCGGCACCCTTTTGCGAGGGCACTGGTCGTGGCTTATGGGGACGGGTCAGAGAGACTTCCCCCTGGAAATTTTCTAATGTGAGAAGCCGGAGAGTACATCTAACACGATTTTGACAGTGTAAGTAGAATCAATTTTCCTTTTTTATTGCCCGAGGGGGGTGGTGGGGTTATAAAAAACGAAAAAAATTATTCTGCGTCTATTTGGCTATTATATATCAACAACATAATATGATCATTATCACAAGAAGGTCAGTCTCCGATTTGTCCAACCTTTTTTAGTCATATTAAAAGTAATTTATAGCGCGTTTTCATTCGTAAATAGATTTTAAACAAACTTGCCCTACGGGCTTGGTATTTAATTCGGTTAACACATTAAAACTGTTCTACATATTATTATTACTACTCTGGAAACTGGAAGAGCAAGACTACTACCTTTAAACCATTGTTATAGAATTGAAAGGTAGTGTATTATAAATATAATTTGCTTAATCATTTATTGGGTGATATTTTTAAAATTCTAGAAACTTCGTGAGTTTATATATAAAAAGAACATATCTAGCATGATTCTACTGTTATTGTCAGTTACTGTGGTATAAATTTGATCACCAGTGGTCCTTCAGTATTGGAAACCTATTGGTGCGTCTAAATTTTCAAATGAACATGAGAAATGATGAGACAAAAATTGTAGAAAGTTATCCCATTGGTAAGAAGTATTACAAAGTGTTACTATGCTCTTATTCTAATAAACGTCATTAGCCTTTTGCAATTGTCTGTAGATTGTGTGTTGCTTTCTAAGGGAGCAGACTTATATTTGAGTAAAGTAGCCTATTTTTCATGTTTTAAAATGAAGTCAAATTAGGTCGAATCGAGCATTTCTCGGCATCATACTTTCCCCAGTTTAAACAGATAAAATAGATCTTTTGAAATTTGCAACGTTTTCTTCTAAAAATCTACTTCAAGCTTTTCCAGTCATCCAGTGGGTGCCCTCGACCTAGGAGAAAGTTAATTTTGAATTAAAAACTTCAATTTTCACCTGGGTGATCTATAGGGCGACCGATGCCTTTCAAATTCAACCAACAGGATATCATGTCCCCCCCAGATTTTCTGACGGGGGGACATGTCCCCCTGCCCCCCTGTGATCTGCGCCCATGTCAAGCTGATAATAGAATTGAAATGTTATTTTAATGGGCGTGGCCATGATCACTCACTGTTTAAAGAATTTTGTAAACAACAGTCAAGTTCCATACTTTCAAAGTCTTTCCAAAATTGTATTAATGTTCTTAGAATTTGACTTAGAACTGATAAGCTGACACATTTTTACACAAATTTTTAATACTATTTTAGATGTGAAATAAACACACTTCACACACATACAGTTTGACCAAGAAGAAAATCACCCTCTGTAAAATAAAAGAGTTGGTTATATAGTTGTTCTGAGAGTAATAACCTGCATGTGTTACTTCTATTTCAGTAGCTGAGAAAATGACAGACGTTAATAACAGTATACATGATTCTGTGAAAGATTATTATGGTAAAGTTTTGAAGACAACTGATGATCTGAAAACACCAGCATGTTCTACTGGAGAAAGTCGTATGAGTCAAACAGTTAAAAAGGCTCTTGGCGAGGTTCATGATGAAGTCACCATCAAGTATGTGTTGCGACTCTGAATTGTTATTTTGGAACATTGTTTCCTTGTTTAGTTGCATCACTGATTATGAATTTTAAATCTGATGTATGAACTAATTTTATTAAGGGATATTGTCGTATAAATTTTTCCTTTTCCTGCTGATACAGCTCAATGTTTTTAGCATTTATCACTTGAAATTTCATACATCAGACTTTTAGTTTTACCTGTATGTTGAGGTTTTTATTTTGAAAAACTTTCGTGAATGACTTAAGTTATGCTATCTGAAAGATGTTCGTCAATCAACTATAAAATATGTTATTTTAATAGATATTATGGCTGTGGATTAGTGATACCTGAGAAAGTAGAAGGATGCAGAATATTAGATCTAGGTAGTGGAAGTGGTAGAGATTGTTTTGCTCTGAGTAAACTGGTTGGTGAAGATGGTTATATTGTTGGATTAGACATGACAGATGAACAGGTAATCTATAAGATGTCTGGTAAGTTAGGTGAGGGCTGAGAATGGGGGAAAAGGTTTGTCATTCCTTGAACATGGAAATGTGGACGTATATTGCCGTCGCCAAATTTGTAATGAAATTTGGTGTGATGATTTATATTGATTCGATCTTCGTCAAGTTCAAATTTAATAATTTTTTCGATGAATGGTTTTTGAGCTATTGCCCTTGATTTAGGAAACACGCGTCAAAATGTGTTTGTGAACACAATAGAGACTACAGTTTTCAATTGATTTTAATGAAATTTGGTGTGATCATTTATATTGATGTCATTGGAAAAGTTCAAATTTGATGATATTTCGATGAACAATCTTTGAGTTATTGCCCTCGACTTAGGAAAAACGCTTCAAAATTTGTTTGTGATCATGTATATTGATGCGATGATTTGAAGTATTTGGGTTATTGATATTGAGTTGTAAAAATTTGGTGGAATTTCTCAATGTATTACAGAATTCAAATTTAAAAAGAATGTAGTTACACAAAAAATTATTCATCTTTATTTTATTTTAATCTTCAGTTAACAGTAGCTAGAAAATATATAGATTACCACACAGAAAAATTTGGTTTTAAAAAAGCTAACGTTGAATTTGTAAAGGGATATATTGAAAAAATCCTTGAAGCTGGAATTAAAGAAAATGATTTTGATTGTGTAATGTGAGTATGGTCATTATCGTATTCACTCTATAAAATACAGATGTTTGGCTTCATGTTTATTCTGCAGCTTACTACAATTGCCATCCATGATCTGACGAGATATTTCTTTAAATTTTGTTATTGGAATTTTGACCCCAATTGCATCAAAGGTTGTCATAAGTTTTGGTTTCCTAGACACTATTAAAAGGGTTTAGACATTACAACTTGTTTACAAGGCATATCCCAGAAAACCTCACATAAAGTAAGGACATTTTTATTGACGTAGCATTTTATTGGTTGAATATTAAATAGCCCAGGAAATCCGTAACAGTTTTACAGTCAAAGATTTATTTCCTAATTAATCAAATGATTCTTTTCTTCTGATTACAGATCTAATTGTGTTGTAAATCTGTCACCAGATAAGAAGGCAGTGTTATCAGATGCTTATAAAGTTTTGAAGGTAAGCTTTTAATATTTAGATGACTTGCAGAACTTCCATGTTTGGTATTGACATCATAAACTCATAATCTTTATAGTGACAAAAATATGATTTGAGTATTTAGATTTTGAAATTCATCTAAAACTGCTTTAAAATTGCCTTCAAAGTGAAGATAGTTTTATAGGCCCACATGAATATGTGGTCGTATATTGTTGTCGCCTCTGTCCGTCGGTCAACATTTCTTGTGAGCACTATAGAAACTACTGTTGTCATCTGATTTTGATAAAACTTGGTGTGATGCTTTAGATTGATAAGATCTCGGTCAAGTTTGAATGTGACATATTTTCAATGAACATTTTTTGAGTTATTGCCCTTGACTTTGTAAAAACGTGTCAAAAGTTGTTTTTTGCCCTTGATTAGAGTTGTGTGATTTAATCATTTGTTGTATTTGGGTTATTGATATTGATTTTAAAAAATTTTGTCGAATTTCTCAGCATAAATAACTGGCATATATATATGTAATTGAATTAAAACTAATAAAATTTCTTCAATATGAGAAAATTCGTACTTTAGTCACTAAAGACTGTTTTATCATTTCTGACAGCTGCCAGTGGGCATATGTTACCTTGCCTCGCAAACTATCTTTCTAATTGTTACTGGCTGATATCTGTCAGACATTTCACAGCTTGTTACATAGTATTTTTATTATCAATACCAGGTTGGTGGTGAGTTATATTTTAGTGATATTTATTGTGATAGAGATCTTCCAGAATCAGCAAGAAAACATGAAGTTTTGTGGGGTGAGTGACATATTTATAACATATGATTCTGATAAATTACATCATGCAGACAAAACAGGTTTCTTACTTTCAAGGACTTTTTTTTTGCTTGAGAACAGAGAAATTTGTGAGGTCCCATTTCATAGTATAGATGACTTTTTAAGAGACATTTTCATTGCAGATTTGCTAGCATTCCAAATACCACAGCTGAAAATGTGTTTTGACTTGTCAAAGTCCATGTTTCAAAAGGACACAGCAAAAAATATAAAAGTACTATAATGCTATAGACACGTTTCAAATACAGGATTCAGTTTTGTCCATAAGAAACCTCCAATCAATTTAAGCTAATGTACAAACTATGATTTTAATAAAAAAAAGTGTACTTGTATATTTTGATATGAAGGTGAATGTGTATCAGGAGCACTATGGTGGAAAGAACTATATAAACTAGCGGAAGAGATTGGTTTCAGTCAACCTAGATTAGTAACAGTTACTCCAGTACCTATAGAAAAAGAAGAGTTTAAAAAGGTCCTGGGTAAGAACCTATTGAAATCTTTCATCAAAGACATATAAGTTATACATCAGGATGGACAAGATAGTCATGCTCAATATCAAAACTCTCATTTCTCATGTCTCAGTGTCCTCAGTGTCCAGTGTTATCAGGATTTTTACCATCCCTACAGCTCACTATAACAGATAAACAATGTTTTGACCCAAACAAAATTTTGAGAGAAATCAAAAGTTGAAATTGTAATTTTCAGGTGATGCCAAGTTTGTATCAGTGACATACAGATTATTTAAATTACCAGAGAAACATGAACAGGCTAGACAAGTTATATATAATGGTGATATCACAGACCATAAGTCACAATTACAATTTGATGTTAAACATACATTTAAGGTAGGTTGTCCAAGAGGTTTAATTTAATATGAGAAACCATAGAATAGATACTGTACATTGACTGCAGTTAAATCCCAGAAATTGGCAATGATTTATCAAAAGCAAAGTATCTATTGGTGCGAAAAGGATTCTGCAGAGGTGGTTATTCTTACTGATTGGTCATAATGAACCAGGATTCAGACCACAATCTATTCTCATACTAATTGTTAAACTGCTTTAACTGTCATTTTAAGCGCTAAAATAATCCTTGTTTGTATATTAAAAGACTTTAGAAAACTATACTATTTAAGAAACTTATTTATTGTGAATATGTTTCATTGAGTAGACTAGTGATCCAGTAGCAGTTGATGGAATATTAAGTACTGTACTACACTGTTCAAGATTTAAAGATGAATTTGACTTTCAACCATGTTCTGCCAAGTCTAATTGTTGCGCTGAAAAAGTTGACATGGTTAGTAGATTGTTTCAATAACTCGGTCAGAGATACAGTCAAGTAACCTAATTTCGTGTGAACATAATTTCGTGTGAACCTAATTTGGTTTGAACCTATTTTATTATCTATTTCTAACATATCCAAAATGGCAGATATCAGTTATCACAATTTTTTATCGGCCAAATTTCTTTATAATCCCAAGCCGTATATGGGCCATATTCCTATGTTATATAAACACAGCTATGGAACAACAATCACAGGTTAAAGTTTTATGCAACGTTTCGACGTGTTTCCCCCGTCATCCTCAGGCACATGTGATTGTTGTTCCATAAAGCTGTGTCTATATGTCGTACTCACAATTGCAAAATGCCATTCAAAGACTTTATTCTTATGTTGTTTCAATGAATTTTAGATTTTACTTATCTACTTTTGTCAGTCATTATTTTTTAAATCTTTGATCTTAAAGAAATTGTCATTAGTAATAATGAAATATTATCAAAAATAAATACTAAGAAATCATAATTATACCACTGGGTATCCATGAAGCGTATTTTCTCGACTCCTTTGTCAAGCTAGTTACTCATTAAATATGGGTCAAGGTGAGGGATTCATAAAGAAAATAAAAAAAAAACAATATTAACTATTTTATAGAATATCTGAAGAAACATCAAAGACATGAATTTTGTGTTGAATCCTCATTTGCACGAATATAGGTTACACCCATAGAGTTATAAATATACTCTATGGTTACACCACTGTACTCTAAACTTCATCCACAAAAATACTTCATCATCTGTCCATTTTCCAGCAGAAGCTATTATTACATACTAGGTACTTGTTAGTAGTCGTGGTTGTTGGTAGTAGGATCTAGATCAATTGGATAGTTTTATTTATAGTAAGCAGGTGAAATATTCCACTAAAAGAGTTTCAAAATATCATGTTTCATATAATAAAAATCAATTGGAGAAGTGAGTAGCAAAGATGTCAATCATTGAGAAAATAATGATTGAAGAGGTAGGTCTAAAATATAGAAATAATTTGTTTTACCTTTTTACCAGTGAAATTAATTTTTTGTGTCTTATTGCAGGATTGTACTGTTTATAGTTGATAATATTATATTGATATATAATGTTGATATATTTTGCAGGAAATGGATCCATTTGTTTATCTAAACCACTTAGAATCTTCTGGCAAACTTCCAACTGCTGCCTGCTGTACTTCTAAATGTTGTTAATGTTTCTCACCTGCATTCCTGACATAATATTATGATATGATTACTTACTAAAACAAATACTTACCATTTTACTAATATAATTCCCATAGTTATCTAAAACTCATATTATGCCAAAGCTTACATGTTACATTTTGTAATATTTTTACCTTTTGATATAATTTTTGGTATACTATAATTCTATGAAAGTGATATTAATAAAATCATAATACGAGTTTTATTCATATTCTAACTGATCTTGATGAAACTTGAGATCATGGTCAATAGAGGTAATAATTGGATGTACAGTTTTTGAGTTTTTATACGCCCACACGTGTGGGATGTGGGAAATACTTCATTTATTGACTTGCTGCCATTACAATCGCTATTTTTACCCTTGGGTTTGTGAAGTTTGGCTTGTACACACAATAAAGGCTATCAAAAAGATTTTTATCTGATCTTGATGAAACTTGGTGTGTATGTGTAATCGATATTGATGGGTTGTCGGTAACGTTTGAATATAGGAATAATTGAAGAACAGTCAGATATAGGCATTTAGGCTACGTCTTTAAAACACTTTGATACGACACAGGCTGCAGTTGTCACTCGGGTCTTGGTGAGGGAGTAAGTAATATCGATGATCTCATCGTCAAGTTCAAAATTGAGTCAGCGCCTTTGACGTGTAAAATCTTGCGATACAGAACTGACAGTTTTTTTTCGATCTAGATGAGACTAGAAAGCATGTGATTACTTACTATCCCTTTTAAACTGTCTTCACTGCACATATACAGGATATGTATGTAAGTGGTGACTACATACCATCCATGATCCGACGAAATTGTAAGGCCTATGCATATACTAGCCTGACAAATCTGGCCCTGAAAGTTCCTGGCGTAATTTACAGATAGGATATCGGCACGTTTAAGACCTGATATATAATGACACTATTAATGGGAGTTGCTCTGATCCACTTTAAGGGGACGGTGCGAATTTGGTGGGTGGATTTGTGTCTTGAATATATGTTATAGTCTGTTATAATCGCATAATTCCTTCAAAAATATCTGAGACTAGGAATTTCTGAGCTGTTGAGATCTGAACACTATTACTGGCTTAGCTAAAAAATTCCCGTTTCTGAGACTAAGGTACGATTGATAAAAAAATGGCGTACATGATCTTTGTCGCCGATTTTGGCGCCAACTCGAATGCCTGCGCTTCCACAACAAGATTTTCGGGATGCCGACAGGATTTATAATATCAAATAAGAGTGATACTTTTTGTCGCCGGTTATTTTATCTTTTACAGAGCGTTATCATCCAATCATAGGCGTCCAGTCGTTCGGATGAGACAATAAACCGAAGCCCCGTGTGCTACAGGCTGTGCATGTTAAAGATCCCTCGAAAGTTGGAAATCGAAAAAGAGCAGGCTAATGCCGCTGTCCTGGCAAAATTTCCCTCATCGCACCCTGCATGGCGTTGCCCGTCTTCATTAGCCCACATGGTGCAGAAAAGTAGGACGTAAAACTCCATTCATTTCATTTCATTTCCAATCATAGGCCTATGATATTCCTTTCAGCTGCACGATCCCCACGTGATTATATCTACCGGAGATTTTTGTCTCCTCGTGTGCCCACAGCCTGTCGGTAAAAACTCGACTTGACGAAAATCGCCGACAAAGACCCGCATCTTTAATGTCGCTAGTTTCTTTTAATAAATATACTCGTTTTGATTGTAGTCGAATGGTAGTTGTTGCTTTGGTTTGGTTTGGTTATCTGGCTAATGGCCTACAAACGTTATTGTTGTGTTTGGGCAATGCAATTTGGATGGATAAGTTTCGAACTTGTTATATTTCTTTTGGATAAAAGTTGCTTTATTCTATTGTTCACGAACAACAAATAATTAAAGGCAAGGACAATAGATCAAAAAGATAGAAAATTCTTCAAATTCGAAATTGTCTAAGATATCATCAATATATGATCACACCAAGTTTCATTCAAATAAAATATAAACTATTTGTAGTGCTGAAAGAAATGTTGATCGACGGGCGAACAGAGGTGACGGTAGGGGAAAGATGGGTAAATTAAGGAAATATATGTCTACAGTTTCTTGATGCAAATCGTCCATGCTTACAAGCTGCATGCACATGGCTGTAACTTTCACGAAAACCAAATTTAGTTAGTTTAAATGAAATAGTTAAGGTTTGGAAAATCAAAGCGACTGTTCCAATTTACCCAACACGGAGGATAAATTGGACCAGGGCGTCGGCTTATTTGGACTGCAGGATATATTTCATAATATATAGGGAAGTTAAATAATATTGCTTAATCAGAGAAAATTGTAGGCCTAATTTTAAGTTAGACAAAATTGCTGATCAGAACATCAAATCATGAATATTTTTATACGCCCACATAAAAATGGGGGGCGTATATAATATATTGCCGTCACCCATGTCGGTCCGTCCGTCCGTCCACAATTGCTCGTAAACACTCTACAAGGCGCATTTTTTTTTACTGATATCGATGTTACTTGGTATGGTTGTTTGTAATTACCCAAGGATGAACAGCGTTCAATTTTAGCTTGTAGCCTAAACACTATAGAAGGTTCAATTATTGACAGTTTTTGACGAAACTTGGTGTGAATGTTTGTTATCACCCAAAGATGATCCATACCGAAATTCAGAAAAATAGAAAAATATTCAGTAGGAAAATTAAGAGTTATCAATTGCCATACTTTAAAGTCCTTCTTCTCAATAAAGGGTTCAATTTTAAGCCGGTAAACGCTATATAGAAAGTTCAATTTTTGACAGATTTGACGAAACTTGGTGTGAGTGATTGTTATCAAGTATGAATTGCCTATTAATTGAAAATCAGAAAAATCGAAAAAAAATTAATATGAGTTTTATTGCCCTTGTTCTTGAAAATGCGTTCAAGTTTTAGAACTTAAACACTCAAGAAGGCCCAATTCTTGACAGATTTTGATGAAACTTGGTAATATATTATGCAGTTCAAAAGAAGAGCATGTCTGAAGGCTGAATATTTCACACTGGTAATTGTAACTTAGTAACGGTACGATCAAATATTTTAAATAAATATATATAATATATATTTATTTAAAATCACTGGGCGTATATTACCTTGCCTGGCAAGCTATCTTTTGATTTATTAGAGGCGCATGGTCGGCATTGGCTAAGGGCGGTGGGGAGAATGACTTTTAGAGAGAGCCATTTACGGAAGCCAACAAAATTGGATGAAAATGTTAGGATGTCAAAAAACTGATCCACCTTCGCTAAGTTCTTACAACTGACTCTTGTTGCCTTAGCGCAGTGCTATAATATACAAAGAATCATAGATTTATTTCTATTTATTTATGTTTACTCATTAGCCTTTAACCTGTATAATTTCTTATATTCACGGATCGACTTGTGATGAAATAAAGGTTCAGTCGTAAAAATCAATGGAAGCGCACAGCAACTTCCTTATTATCAAAGCACGCTGTAGATGGTCACTATTGGTAACAGTCATGTGATCAATATTGTCGTCAGAACAAAATGGCGTCAAAAACAGGAATATTTAGATTTAGACAGCGCATTTTCGATTATTTTGGCTTATTTTTAAATGCATCGGGACACTGATTTTTCTTTGAAAAGGTTCATAACTGCAAGGAATTGAAGTTATTAACATTATGCCAGAAAGGATGACTGGACCGGGAGACAGTGCAGAAATCGACGTCGATGCCATCATTGAACATCTTCTGTCTGTTCGAAATTCTCCAAATAAACAAGTTCAACTTCCAGAGACCAAAATCCGACAGCTTTGTCAGTTGTCGAGGGAAATATTCATGGAACAGCCAATGCTACTGGAATTAGAAGCTCCAGTCAATATTTGTGGCGATATCCATGGACAGTATGAAGATTTGTTGAGACATTTTGATGGGTGTGGCTACCCACCAGATTCAAATTATTTATTTCTTGGAGATTATGTTGACAGAGGAAAACATTCCTTAGAAACTATTTGTTTGATACTTGCATATAAGATCAAATACCCAAACAATTTCTTTTTATTGAGAGGGAATCATGAATGTGCTTCCATCAATAGAATTTATGGATTTTATGATGAATGTAAAAGAAGATACAATATCAAACTTTGGAAGACATTTACAGACTGTTTCAATGCCTTACCAATAGCAGCATTAGTTGAAGGGACCATATTGTGTATGCATGGTGGATTATCTCCAGATTTGTCTGACTTGCAACAAATTCAAGAAATTGAACGTCCACTTGATGTTCCAGACCAAGGATTGATTTGTGATTTATTGTGGTCAGATCCAGATGAAGATATAACTGGCTGGGGTGAAAATGACAGAGGTGTATCCTATACTTTTGGTCGTGATATTGTCAAAGATTGTCTCAAGAAATTTTCATGCAGTCTGATTGCTAGAGCTCACCAAGTTGTTGAAGATGGGTATCAGTTTTTTCAGAAAAGAAAGCTGGTCACATTGTTTAGTGCTCCTAATTATTGTGGAGAGTTTGATAATGCTGGGGCTGTGATGATTGTAGCTCAAGATCTAACCTGTTCATTTAAAATCCTGCCTCCTGACAAGATGAAATCTATTGCTGCTCAAGGAAAGAAGAAAAAGTAATTTGTTACATGGAAATATGTTCCCAAATGTGAAAGCTTAGCATTTCAATACTTAAAACTTTCAGTTCTATAGTTGGTGCATAAGCACAAACTTTAATTGAATCTATTATGACAGAACTTAATACAGTCCTATTGATTAATTACATCCGCTTGCATTAAGAATTTTTTATAAATTTTGCTCAATATTAACCCAAACATTCTAGCATAATGTAACTGTGTCTTGTTGTATAATGTATATTGTTCAGTGGGTTATTAGCCTATTATTGATGTGTTCAGTGACATTCATTGACTAGGACAAAATATTAGTCATAAAATTCATTTGTTATTTTCTTGAATATTTATAGAAACCTTGTTACTATAGTTTCAATGTGATACTTATTGTTTACATTGTTATGTTACATATAAAATTGTGTTCAAAAGACTTTTTTTTTGTACCTACAGTGATAGACATTTCAATACATATAAACCATATAGATGTCAAGCATTGCTATTATTGATCCTGGTATAAAAATCCATGCTTATGCTCTATTCCTTTCATAAATTCTGTTAGCTCTCAGCTAATTTATTACCGTACTTGAAGGAAATGGCAGAGTTGTTGAATGAATGAATATTTGACTTCTAAATCAGGTACCAAAGTATGTTATTTTCAGATTTTCAAACACAAAAATTTTCTTTTTTTAAATCACGACAGAGGTACCAGTACAGCAAATTTCCCCCATCTTGTTGAATCAACTACTTCAACTTCTATAAACAGAAGTAAGAAATGAACTTTTTTGTGAGTGAAGATCATATTTCATTAAAATTCTTATATACATACAATTTACACATAATATAAATAAAAATAAATTATAAACAATAAATCTGTGAAGTCACATCTATTCACATAATATACTTCCATTCTAATTTGATTAATTGATCCCACAAAAGGAAACAAGTGAATTTACCATTGCTGATCCTTAGGACACTACAAAAATACTGATGGAAAATCAAACATAGCTGAAACATTAATGTTCTCTCATAATATTGATTTACTAGGTTTCTTCAAATCAAATGACAATCTGTACATAATCCTTATAATTCTGACATACCAAGATGAATGCACTGCAATTCAGGAATTAATTCTACATATTTTAATCATCCCAAAAGATTTCAAGCAGTTCTCATTTAATTAACAGTTATAAAATAAAATGATAAAGGACAGTGTGTGGAATGCATTCAAAAAAAAAGGATTCTAGATGGTGCCTTATCGATGGCTGTTATTCCAGTCTTCATCATCAAAAGGATCCATATGACTTTTACGATAAACTTCTTTAAATTCTGGTCCCAACATCTCCAGATCTTTTTCATCTTGTATAACTCCCTGTTATAATTAAAACAATTACATTAATATAGAATTTCACTGATTAGCCTACTGGACACCAATGACATGAAGAGTGCAATGAAGAAACATTTACAAAGGTATTCTCTTTCAAGGAATCTCTAATACGCCTTGCTTATTAAACACACTTTCTTGGTCAATTTGTTTATTGTATGCCACTTTATGAGCTTTAACATCAAGTTCATTTTTCTCATACATGTGTTATCTTGTGTATCGGATCAACCTACCTTAGGTAAGAAACCAAGTAATTTAGTAGCATGTTCACGCAACAAACGTTGTCTTTCTTCCTCAATGATTTGTCTTCTAAATTCTTCCATACGAGATTCTTGTTCATGTTCAGCAATCTCTCTTTCCCTAGCTGCAGCGTAGTTTCTACGTCTTTCTTCCAACAATGCTTCTACAGATCTTTTATGTTCCAATTGTTTCATTCTTCGTTTTTGAGCATTCATCTGCTCAATTCTATCATCTTCAGCAAATTTGGCCAACATCTGATTCCTGAACTGATCTTCTTCATCCTTTTCAGCTTGTAATCTAAGTGCCTTGAAATGCATCTGTCTGGCATGTGTTTCTTGCAATTCAATTCTTTGACGAAGTTTCTGTTCAACATCAGCCTGAAGTAGGAAAGTAAAATTTTCATTATAAATGTAATGATAATCTTGTCATCTGAAAGCTATAAATACATACTCTTTCTTTATACCATTGATCCAGTTTAGGTAATCATAATCCATAGAAATGAACATATTTAATCTCTAAAAACTCAACTTACCGATTCTTTCCTTCTTTCTCTGTCTTCTTGTTCTTCAAGATATAACTCCATCTGTATTCTTTCCATTTCATCTCTTTCTTTCTCTTTGGCAGCAATTTTCTTTGATAACTGAAATTTTACAAATTTAGAAAATATCAATCAATGTGAAACATTGCTTCTCTGTCCTCTGGAAAAAAAATTAATATGCATGCACATTTCTTAATCTTTCTAAATATTTGAATGTAAAGGAAAATTCCCATAGTTTCTGATCATGATTAACTGACCAATTAAACTGTATATCAGACTAGACTATACATCCAATATTAAACTTACTTCTCTCTGAACCTGTTCCATAGCCTGCTCCTTGGCTTTTTTAGCTTCTCTTTCTCCAAGCTCACGTTCTTGTTGAACATTAGCAAACTGTAAAATTCTCTTATTTTCTTCTTCCATTCTTCTTCTTTCCTCATCTTTCCATGCAGATCTAGCTGCTTTGAACTCTTCAATATATTGTTGAGTTGCTTTTCTTTTCTGCATCTGTCTTTCAAGATCCCTGAAAATAACAATACAATGTTTAATGATTAGGTATGATGCTCTTCACCTGGGTTCTGACCGTTTCTTACTTGGAATTCTACATGTATATACTTCATAATATGCTCCATAAGTTGAATATTATGTAAATGTCAAAATTGGGTAAACAATCCAAAGTAATTTCCTTTATTTGATTAAAACTAGTCCAGAAAAGCCTAAACCAAAACCTACTTTTGATCTTCTTCATAAATCTTTCTAACTATTTCATCAATCATTAGTTTTTCTTTCAAGAATTCTTCATAAGCTTGTTGTTTTCTGTATTCTTGTTCTTCAAGTTGTCTTTCTAATTCTTGCTGATATCTCACTTGTTCATGATATCGTTCTTCAATGCGTTTAGCTTCTTCTACACCAGCTCTTTCATGTTGTTTCTTCATTTCGTGACTTATTTCAGCATCTCGTTTCATTTGTTCATATTTGATTACCTCTTTTTCTGCTAATTGTGCTGATCTTTCTTTACTCATGTAGGCTGCTTTTAATTTAGCTTCTAACTCTCGTAACTCTAAACTAAAAGTAACGAATTTAAAAAAATTTATATCTGGTAGTCACGGTTTTTCTTGACATGTTTGGAAAATGCATAATTTTGACACTTGATATTTGTTTAGATAATTTATATTTTCCCTGTGAGACACTACCAGTACTATAAATATTCATTGTAAAATAATTTTAGCTTACCTAGATTCACGAATTTGCTGTCTTGTTTTCTCATCTCGCAATTTACTCTGGTTTAAATTCTGTAATTCTCTGGCTAACTTGTCTTCTTGTTCATATTGTTGTGCCTTCATTATTCTATCTCTTTCTGCCTATAGAATAATTAAAATAATATATGTTTTATCATATGAGTTATTATATATCATAATATATCAAATTATAGGGTACCAATATGTACTATCAAATTCACTACCAGTACCCAAAATAAATTAAAAGATATGATACTAATTTGTACACTTTATGATTGGCAATACAATATTAAATAGTACAATTCACACAAAATGCATAGTAGATTATTAAAGAATCTACATAGGCTCACCCTTATTATGGCTTCCTCCATTTCTCTCTCTTTCTGTTCTAATTGTTGTCTTCTTAAGTATCGCTTATCTTCTATTCTTTCTTCCCGATTCATATTGGATGTTAGCATTCTTTCTTCTGACAACCTATGTAAAGTATCCTCTCTCAATTCTTCTTGTCTTCTACTTTTATCAAGATTCTTCTCTCTCATATTGGTGGTTAACTGTCTTCTTACGGTAGTCTGATCAAAATAAATTCAAAGTATAAGCTTATGGAGTAAAAAACAATAAAAGTAGTTCTGGCTTTATTGATATCATAATGTTATGAAATGTGAAAGAAAGATAGCTTGCCAGGAAAGGTAATATACGCCCACTGGCAGCTTTGATTTTGAAATAAATATTTAGCTGTACACTAACAATCACCAGTATGAAATATTCAACCTTTAGTCATACACTGCTTTTGAACTCTTTAGGGCGATACTGGATAATATTGAGTATGAGTTATTGCCCTTGTTCTTGAAAACATGTTCAATCTTTAGCTCGTGAAAACAAATATTCAATCTTCAGCGCAGTACTGAATAATAAAACCAAGTTTTGTCAAAATCCAGCAAGAATCATGCATTCTAGAGTTTTTACGAGCTACAAATTGAACAAGGGCAATAACTCATACTAAATATTTTTCAATTTTTCTGATTTTCAATAGGCTTTATCCTTGGGTGATAACAAACACTCAAGTCAAGTTTTGTTAAAATCCGTCAAGAATTGTGCCATCTAGAGTGTTTACAAGCTAAAAATTAAATGCATTTTCAAGAACAAGGGCAATAACTCATACTCAATATTTTTCGATTCATCTGATTTTCAATCCTTGGGTGATTACAGACACTCACACCAAAATCCGCCAAGAATTATCCCTTCTAGAGTGTTTACAAACTAAAATTTGAACGCGTTTTCAAGAACAAGGGCAATAACTCATGAATGCTAAATATTTTTTGATTTTTCTGATTTTCAATAGGGTTTATCGATGGGTGATAACCAACACTCACCAAGTTTCGTCAAAATCCATCAAGAATTGTGCCTTCTAGAGTGTTTACAAGCTAAAATTGAACGTGTTTTCAAGAAACAAGGGCAATAACTCATACTAATTATTTTTCGATCTTTCTGATTTTAAATAGGGTTCATCCTTGGGTGATAAACACTCACACCAAGTTTCATCAAAATCCGTCAAGAATTGCACCTTTTAGAGTGTTTACGAGCGTTTCAAGAACAAGGGCAATAACTCATACTAAATATTTTTCGATTTTTCTGACTTTCAATAGGGTTCATCCTTGGGTGATTACAAACAACCATATGCGCCTTGAGAAATTCCACGAGGATCTAATTGCTGTGCAATATAAATATCGTCATTATTATTATTATACCGAGTTTTGTCGAAATCAGTCAAGAATTGTGCCTTGTAGAGTGTTTACGAGCAATTGTGGACGGACAGACGGACATTGGTCACAGCAATATACGCTCACCAAAAGTTCAATCTTCGCACAATATAAGCTTACAATTTTCAAATTATATTTTTTGTTTTTATATTTTAGAATGTTAGATCTATTCCTAAGCTAAAACAATCACAACTACCTAAAGGCTATACATAACATAAGTTAGGTTCACTGTCTCATCTGGATATTAATTATTTATTGGCCTACTGTCTTATGTTGGTAAATCATATTTACCAGAACTATAGCTGTTGGACTCATTGATGTCATTTGTTGGACTAGCCTAATGATAATGTTTAAAAAATAGGTGTAAACTGTAGTCATAAGTCTAATTCAGTACTAGTCTGGTCATCGAGTCAGAGGGTAGTATAGTCAAGTAACCTAACTTCGTGCTAACCTATTTTTCGTTCATTTCCGGAAAGGAAATTTACATGTGCGACCTTGCGTGACTTCGCCTTTTGCTTGTTTTGATAAACATGGGTTTTCTGTACAAAGTCAGCTTGTAGAATGGATCCAGAAGTTTCAAGTAAGGTAAAATGTATTACCAAACATCACAAGTTTTTATCGGCCGAATTTCCTTATAATCCCAAGCTGTAATCAGAATTCCAAGTGTCGTCTGTTAGAATGTAGTCCAACGAATGAAGTCACGTGATCAACTAGCAGATTCCGTGTCAGCAGAAAAATTCTATGGAACACAAAGTGGGCCATATTCTTATGTTGTTTCAGTGACTTTTAGCAATAAATCACGCTACGTGTCTTGTTTTGTCATTTTTTTTTAAATCATGGTTCTTTGAAGGAAATATCATTAGTTATAGTGAAATGATATTAGAGATAAATACTAAGAGAAGTTAATTATACCACCCGGTATCCATACAACGTGTTTTTCTAGACTTATTTATAGATGAAACATTGTACACGAAAATAGTCGTTGAGTTGGTTACTCATGAATATGGGTCAAAGTGAGGGATTCATAAAGAAAATCGAAACAAACCAATTTCAATTATTTTGTAGAAAATCTGTGGAAACACGTAAGACATAATTTTTTCCCCGTTTTTTAACTTTGACGAAATTCGGTTTTAAATCCTTATATGCACGAAAATAAGTTACACCACTGACGCAATGTATGTAGATCAACAAAAGCTTACTCAATTAAATCTTTATCAAATCAACGAAAAACAGGTATTTGAAAACTACTTACCATATTGACCGTTAAACAGTAAAAAGCAGTCAAAATATTAACTTCTCAAGCTAAAACCCCCAAAGATGTCCTTCAAGACTATTTCAAGATGCCATCAAAAATAAAATGTAGTGTTTGGCTTTGGACTGTACCACTCTTTGGTCGTTAGGGGATACTAAGTTAATAAATATTTGTTACAACGTCTCATCTATATTTTGCTTTTCGTTTGAAATCTCTATTACAGTGGAAATGTCATTGAAATTATATATTTTAACAGAATATTTCATTAGAAAGTCAGACTAATTTAAAATATTGTTTTAATTACTATAATTGTAAAAATACCACCCCTTAAATGAACCAATCTAGTTACAGCCCCGCACAGAACGAATCTGTACCTAAACAAATCATATAGAGAATTTATCTTCCGTGTGCGTAACCATTTTGTTCAAATCACTTGGCAATAATGTATAAACCCACTTCAACCCAGAAAGAATTTTTTTTTTTTTAATTATCCAGTGCTGAGAAAGTTAGTGGATTTTCCTTACCACTATCATGATAATGTTAGAGTCCATAATTAGGGTTATGTTTTTGTCCTTCTACGGTATATTCTGGTTACAATTTATTCTTCTTTTAATATAATTTAATTTGTTATAAAAAAAAATTGTTTCTATTGATTTGACTTGGAAAGACTAAGAAAAACTGTAATTCTTACACTGGAAATATTCTTTCCAAAACTAAATCATCCATTCAGATCTAAAGAATGTCTTTTCTTCCACACACCATTCCAAATTTGGTCACTTCCGTTCATCGAAAACTTGAGTTGGCAAAAATTGATTTTTCACTTCAATTTAGTGTTTGATTTCAGAACTTTACCTTATTGTTTGCTGACGAAAGGTGGGTTATTTGATGTAAAATGTAGAATATAATTTGTTGCAAAATAAATTTTTAAATAAAATTCTGTAGTCTAAATGCCACAATCACTGTACATAGTGTAAGTTTTCTCGGCATTTTCTCAATATTACTCTCAGTCTCAGTGTAACTTCTTCGGTTAGGTTACTATTTTTAGTGTCTTATCTTACTCTTATTATCATTACGTAGAACTTAAAAGTAATGGCTTACAGTGGTTTACCTCATTTGGCTTAAAAAGTTCATGCCCTTATGGTTCTCCCCTTTTCAATTTTAACTCTGGTGGTTTCCTCCCCCTATTCACTAATATGAATGAAGGCATGGCCTTGAATGAGAGCGCAGGTTAATGATAGAATAACAATAATTAATGATAATTAAATAAAAGATATTCAACCTTATCTGTATGTAATGCAAACTATTTTGTCTTCTAATCATATGTATGATGGTAATCTTCTATGAATATAAGATCCATAGACATTTCTATAAGGTGTGAAAGTAACCATCTATAACGATGACGTCATTATATCATGACGTATGATGCCATCATTGCTTGGGAGAAAGTCTTTGGAAATTAGGTCGAAGCTGTCATTTTATTCCTTATGAAGCATAGAGAATATCCAGGAAAAATAAAATAAAACGTAAGGGTTGTTAAGTTGCTACAAAACATCCCTTTCTGTATTTGAAACAATTGTCGTAATTTATTTAAAGAATTCCAGAATATTCACTCCGAAACTAATTGATTGACTGATCTAGTTGTCAACAAACATGGCGGCCCCCATGATCCGCCATCTTTTTTCTCACTTTTTGTGGGGCATAAATTTTCTGAAACGAATTAATGTATACGTGTGTGTTACCATTATAGAGAGCTTCACTTTGCCGTCGAGAGAGCTGCGCTCTCATTTTAGGGTAGATCTATGTGAAGAAAAATAGTTTGATTTAATGACATGCATGTAATATATAGTATATTTTATTTCATTTTCATTTCAACAATAACAAAATGTTACGTAACAGTTTTCCTGTTTTCAGTTTAAAAAAAGTTTAAACTTTAACCAGCAGCTTCCCAATTTCACTGCTATGCCAAAAGACATTTAGTAAATAATAATACTCAAAACATCTAAAACAAAAAACAGTAACACTATTTAATAAAGCAATTAATGGCAATTAATATATAATATATATCACTAAAAGAGGTGACACATTTTCCGCCGTTGTAGAGTGGGTTACTCATGAAATATGGGTCAAGGTGAGGGATTCATAAAAAATCGAAATAAACCTCGATGATTTTGTAGCTTCAGACTGTTTCTGATTAATAACTATAAAAAATATACATATCTGGATTATCTGTATACCATTTTCTATGACACCATTTATTCACATCCATCACAAGTATTGACATGCTGCCTGGGTCAAACAAGAGTATTGCAAGTTGAACAAAAATTAGATTATATATGAACACAATTTTATGGATAACAAATACTTTAATAAATAACTTGAGACATTTTGACGATGATACTTTCGTCATTATCAAGCAATAATCTCAAGTTATTTATTAAAGTAATTGTTATCCAGAAAATTGTGTTCATATATTCATACCTCAATTACTAAATGCCACTCAAGGTAGAAATTAAATTATCTATCTCTTACTGCATCAGCATCACTTAACCCTAACCCTTAACAACTTTTGTGGCAGAATAGACACAGTATTCTTCTTTTTTTATGAATTTATTGATATGCACTAATGGGCTATGATATTGCTTATTGTTATTAGATGGATGTTTACAATTAATGTTAGAATAGAGGACTCTTTATTGCTCTTTTAAATGGCAATCAGTATTATTCAAAGTATTTTTACCATATTTTTTATATTTCAGATTAACAGGTTGAAGATGTCACAGGTTCCTACTAAGATTGTGCTTAAAAGCACTACTAAGATGTCATTAAATGATCGGTGAGGACTTGTACTACAAAATATATGTGAAATATGACATATATAATGGAAGGAAAAGTATACTTTGTATACAGTTGTGCACCAGATGGTGTTACTTGAAGTAATAATTGGTGGATTTCATGATTCATTGAAATGTAGAAAATCAATAAGATTTAGAAAGAAGCATTCATAATTTTATTTCATGAAAATATATTTATTGAGAATACCAAATGCAATATAAGCTTTTAGAAGGAAATTGTTCAAACATTTCAAAAATTGCATATATAATTGTAATCATGATCAAGAGTAAGAAAACAATCTTCTCTATAAATGATCATAAATATTTAAAAAGTGGCCTGTAATCTTCAGCCCAGAGAGCAGAACCATGAGAAATGTATGCTAAAGTTTTAAACTTTGGGTACAGTTTTTCTTTTCTAAATCAACTGCACAATAAAAATAAAGAGAAAAAATATCTTTCACATGTAAACCTTTTCGTTTGTTTGAACAAGTTTTAAAGTATTATTTTCTGGTTTTGACATTGGCTGAAGTAATTAGCTCAATGAAGGGACTTGAAGTTATCATTCTTCTCAAAGAATACAGGCTATCTGTGTAAGAGAGATGAAAATTAACTGAGATTAAAGAATGATACAGGCCACAAGTAAAATCTCTGGTAAGAGTGTTCAAATTCTGATTATTTCCTTCTTGTGGAAAGATTTACACATATCCAGAAGACACGACCACAACCAACGGTGCAGAATATAAGAGGAAACATGATGTCACAACAACAACAATCAGTTAGAAATCAACGTCAAAATCAACAAAATATTAATCGGCCAGGATTACAACAACAATCTTCTAAAGTTAAACAGGTTAGTTTCAAGTTTTCCTTTAGAGTTATACTTGAAGGTTTAAGTCTGTGAATTGAGAAGTCTCTTTTCTGCAAACCTAAATTTGATAGATAAAATAAATTTTTATAAGCCCACATTATAATGTATAGCGTAACTTGCAAGGCAACCACTTGTTAAATTATATTATCTAATTTCCTAAAAACTGAATGATGTAGTAATTTATTTTTTACAGAAAAGTTTAAAACAACGCTTGGGATCAAGTAATATTAAAGCTAGATTAAATTTTGGCGCTGTTAGAGGTCGAGGGGTACAGAGAGGAAATTTCCAGAATCAAGGTGGATTAAGAGGTCATACTCGAGGAAATAGACGTGGTGGAAGACAATTACAGCAGAGAGGTGGTCGCGGTGGTCGCGGTGGTGGATTTATTCGACAACAATCCATGTCCTCATTAAATAACAGTAATGATTTCACAGGTCGTAATAGAGGAGGGTTTAACCCACGGTTTAATAACCAAAGTAAGCAATATTACACTCATCAGACTGTCATCATTTACACATCCTTAAATTTAAGCATGCTGTCATCCATGTTCTCAAATATATTTCAATGTTGAAATTATTTATTCATACATTCCTCATATTTCATGTAATGTAATTTCCCTCCCATTAATTCATTTACTATTAGTTATCATACTATTAAATTTTGTATTTTTCATGTCTGATGAGTGTAAATGTAAGCTAACAGAGATTTGGTTTTCTAATTAATAAAGATGTTCAGTGTAGTATATTTTCAAGTAAATTTAAATAAATCTCAATTACGTGAAAATCTGATGTTCCAACTCTTTCTTCATCAGGAATTCTACATTGTTAAGTAATTATTACAAACAACAGTAAAAAATCAACTGGTAAAACAAACATTTATATTGTATCACTTTCACCATTCTTTGATTAGCTCTCAAAATTATTTATTAACCATGGTAGATCTTAATTGTAGGAGGCCGAGGTGGTAATCGTGGTAACCGTGGTAGAGGTGGTATGAGAGGACGTGGAAGTAGCAACAGGTAAAATTATACAATTTTTGAATGATAATTTCTCTGTTTTGGCATAATTTGTTTACATAGTATCTAAAGAACTGAGCTGGTTAATATCGCTCTATGCTGCCACACAAATGTTTCTGTGCCTTACCTTTTTACTTGATTTGCAGAAGACCTGTTTTCACCATGTCCAATGGAATGTTGTCTATAGCCTTCATCAGAACCTTTAGTCACTATTGCCATTTTTCGAACATTGTTTTTCATACGCCCCTATGGAAATGTGGACGTATATTGTTGTGGGTCCGACAACATTTCTTGTGAACACAATAGAGACTACAGTTTTCAACTGATTTTAATGAAATTTGGTGTGATCATTTATATTGATGAGATCTTGGTCAAGTTCGAATTTGATGATCTTTTGTTAAAAGGTTTATGAGTTATTGCCCTTGACTTATGAAAAACCCATCAAAATTTGTTGTGAACACAATAGAGACTACAGTTTTCAACTGATTTTATACATCCACATGGAAATGTGGACGTATATTGCTGTCGCCCCTGTCCGTTGGTCCGTCAACATTTCTTGTCAACACAATAGAGACTACAATTTTCAACTGATTTTAATGTAATATGGTGTGATCATTTATATTGATGAGATCTTGGTCAAGTTCGAATTTGACGATCTTTCGATGAACGGTTCTTGAGTTATTGCCCTTGACTTAGGAAAAAGACATCAAAATTTGTTTGTGAGACTACAGTTTTCAATTGATTTTAATGAAACATAGTGTGATCATGTATATTGATGAGATAATTTGATGTGTTTGGATTATTGATAATGATTTTAAAAATTTGGTGGTATTTCTCAGCATAAATAACTGGCAGTAAATATATATATCAATGAATTCAAATTTCTTTAATATGAGAAAATTCATACTTTAGTCACTAAAGACTGTTTTATCATTTCTGACAGCTGCCAGTGGGCATATGTTACCTTGCCTGGCAAGCTATCTTTATAGCTGCTTTAGTCATAAAGAATTAACAAAAAGTAACTAATAAGCATCGTGTTTGTTTTGGCAGAAATACATCATATATCCCAAGACAAATTATACAAATATGCAATGTGTTATGGGATTTGATGATCTCTTAATAAATAAGAAATATGCATCACAAATTGAAAAAAAAAAGGAAAAAGAAAGGCAAAAAAGACATTGTGGTATTTAAGAATCAGATCATCATTTGAGGCATTGTGTTATTTAGAGATTTGGTTACTAATAGAGGTCAAGCTTTGTACCGAGGGAGAGGAGGGCGTGGTCAGAGAGGAAGATCTAACTACTTGATGAGAAAGTAAGACAGTATGGTGTGGATGCTTTTTTAGATGTTTATTTTGTAAATGTGGCATTCACCATACCCTGGCTTTCTCTGTATCATTTAATTTTTGGTGGAGTTGAATTTTTTTGATCCTGTAAATTATTTAATAAAATTATATTGACAGTTCATCATCTGCTACATCCTAACTGCTGAAATGGTTTTATACTTTTAGTTGTACCTCCCTTTTCTGTTTAGTTTCTTGCTTTTATTTTTAAATTGTAAATGAAGAATAACTTATAATCTCTAGATTGCAATGCTGCAGTCAAAATCAGTTGTACAATATGAATGGCAGTGTTCTTTATAAAACTCATCAGGTTACACTATCAAAAAGTTTTAACACTATTCTGAAATCAAATGAGAACTTCCTTTGAGATCTTCATAATAAATTATATTTTCAGAAGACATTCAGGATTCCACTGTATTGTCTTCTCATGAAGAACTTGGACATAGTTCACTTTATTTGCTTAGCATGTGGTTAACATACCAGTTTCTTACTGTAATTAAATTACCTCCAATTTCATTCTGGTGTTGTTGTATCATTGTCTAAGGAATATCACTCAGGGTGTTGTTGATCAACTGCACATATTAATACATAAATTTTGAAGAAATATAAACAATAGAAATGTTATCAGAGAAAACTGTCTGATACTGATTTATGAGCAATATTTTTAGCACGGTCATGATACTGACTTGATGCTGATTTCTTGAAATATTATAAGCACAAACACATTTGATGTTGATTTATAAGGAATGTTATTGTACAAGATACTTCAATATGATATATTGAAGTATTAATATATATATAAAAAAATAACATTCATAACTAAATTGCCTTTTTGTTATCACCATGAAGGTGATACTATATAATACAAAATATCCAATTTTAAAAACTTCACAAGAAGAACTTTTTTATGGTAAGAGTGATTTTTACCATTCATTTAATGTTGATTTATATCTTCAGTTTTAATGATGAAAATCGAGGTGGTGGAAGAGGTAGAAGAGGAGCTAGAGGAATGAGAGGCGCTCAGAGAGGTCAAAGAGGTCGTGGACGAGGTGGAAGGGGAGGTCAAAATGGCAAACCACCAACAGCTGAAGAATTAGATAACCAATTAGATGCCTACATGTCCAAAACTAAATCACATTTAGATTCAGAATTAGACCAATATATGGCAGAGGCAAATCCCACTTCTTAAACTATTGGAGAGACATATTTGTGATTTAACAAAACCAGTGAACATATTAAAGTCAAGTTAAATAGTGGTGTTAGAATTGTAAAACAAGAGACTGTATGAAATATCAGGAAAGCTTGGGAAGGATTACTCGCCATCTTGGTGTTCACACTTTGTACATATTTAATTTTTAATTTTTTATTTCAACCAAGATTCATCATCATTATTATTATTATGTAGTTTTCTTATCATTTTAAGTAGTAATATTATTTTAATATTGATCAAGTTCAGGGGACTTGATTTTTCATGATGTATTCATACAATTTCTATGGTCATACAATTATAGTTTTCAGTACAAAGTGTGTTGTTTTGAAACATATCTCACCTGACAAGGATATTTGTCTACTTTTAAATTCAACCTCTTATAATGGACATAAAGTCTCAAACTTATAAAACTCATTAGTTTCGTAAGTAAACAACAGAATCCTGTATACAACGATAAATTCATTAAATTTAGTATAGGTATATGGCAAACATGGCTCAGCAGTGGGATATCCATTCCAGTTTTCTTTTCCATGATGAGTATTTGACTAAAACTCTACTTCATGTGAGGCAGTGTGGTGTTGGTTTTAAACATGCCATGAATCATCTTGTCATACCATATTAGCTTAGCTGTACTATTAGTCATCATATGTTTGTACCACAATTTATTCTCTGATACTTGAGTGATTTGCAAATGGCGGACATAATATTCTTGCAGATTTCCAGTGCAGTAATTTTTTTATAATTTACTGAGCGTTTTATGAACAAGAGAAAAAAAATATGAAATGAATGTTCACTACCTATAAAGGTAGCATATATTTACAAACAAAAAATACCATGGCAAGCTATAGGTATACATATAAACATTGGACAATAAGATTGGCTCATTCCATAAATAATTTGTGGTTAATGTGCATGAATTTAAATAATCCAAGAACATGTTTCTATTCAATTATCTTTGTTATACTGCATTCAGTTTGCAAGACGTTTAATGCAGCATTTTTATTGTAAACAAGCTGATTAGTTGTAATATTCAACATCTTGGCTGCAATCTCAAAATAAAGGTTTCTTGCAGTGTGACAAAATAAGTGAAAACTGATCAATTGAGTTCTAAATAAAAAGCATGTTGAAAGAAAATATGAAATGATACAGGAGCATGCTCACTACTAACTGACCACAATATTTACAGAAATGAATTTTACTACTAATTTTTGTATGGAGTGATATATTAATTTGCACTGAAAGTCTTAGATTATCTTTGGACAGGTGTGAATTTTCAGTCTGAAATTGTCAATTCCACAGGTAATGCTCTAGAGAGAATTATATTTTAAATGTAGAATCAAACCTTAAATTTTTTATTTGATTGAATTTGAAATGGAGATGAAAATTCAATTGAAATCACTGTTGTTAAGTTAATAATTTATAAAATGGACAAAATTATTTAGTGTTTGTACAATATTTGAGATCATAAATAAAGCAGAATAAAAAGGTAGGGTAATAATGCTAAGTCAACTCATACACAAACAATAATGAGGATAATTATAAATTATTGTTAGTAATTAATTTTTTTTCCAATTTATAGACATTACTTTAAGGGATTATAAATAGGATTTTTAAATGATTTGTGTGTATCAGGGACACTGATAGCATCAATCCGCACCTTTCCAATTCTCAATCAGACGTCTGTGGTTCCTGCAATTCCACTAAACTTAGTATATAATGACGTCACTAATCATAAAATAAGCTTTATCAACCAGGCGTCTGAAAATTGGAATGGTTCAAATTGATGCTCTTTACAATCCCTTTAACAGAGGTACTCCACATTATGATTAACATTATGGATTACATTTATCTTGGCGAACTTACTTATATTACTAAAGCAACTCAAAACCCTATTAAAACACTAAAAGCCACAGGGAATTTGGTAAATCGATGTATAATTATGCAGTGAGAGGTTTTCTCTATAGATTCACTATACTTAAAAAATATTTGTGCTATACAAGAGGAACTTAATCAACAAGAGTTACAACAAATGTGAATAAAGCCTACTAAGTTATCAAAAGCAAACTTACCTAAAATACATTTTAACATGTATACAGAAATTATAATAAAGCAATAGCAAACATTGTTGTAATGTAAATGACAATTAAAAACTTTTTCATTCAAGGATAATTCTCTTCAAAAAACTTGCATTATAATAACTTAAACATCAACATAACTAATATTGCTGCTAGGTTGATGTATGTTAACACAAAGACTTTGTTTCATAATATAAATTCATTTACAATATATGATTAAATTATCTTATAATATACATAATCGTTTAAAATCTTTATATATAACCTGTACAAAACATTATATAAAATATTGTATAATTTATCCATTTATATGATTATTGTGGTATTTGATTTTATAAAGCAAAAAATAAAAACACTGCCTGGTAAACTCTCCTAGACCATATATATTCAGGCTTTTTAATGACTTTGATGTCAATGAATGTTATTGCCATGGTCATCTATTGCATTGAATAATGAAGCTTTCTGTACAAAACGATTTTCTAAAAAAATAGTCTGTATATGTAATATTACACAAGAGTTAACAGAATATAGTATATTGGTGTTAGTTCTAGTTATGTTTTAGAAGATATTCATCATATAAATTCTCCATTATTTATCACCAATTTCAGTTTTGATAAATTTCTGACAAAATACTATTAATACACCAGTATGGGTGCCAATCCATAAGGATGGTCTTTGCCAGATTTTGTGACACCATATACCTGAGTCCATCTTGTAATCAGATACGACTTGGTTTTTTACTTCAGCTCCCTGCTTACTGCTTACTTAAGAAAACGATACACTGATGATGGGTTGGAAAAGAAACTTATTTCAATCATTTCTTAATAAGTCACAGAAAGTTAAGAAGTTACTAAAAATATTTCTAAAATACAATTGATAGCGTTGGATATTGAATTTTGTAATAATGACATATTGGAACACAATATTATGTGATCAATATGATAAAATATGAACACAGATATATAATAATACTATAATGTAATAAATCACAACCTATTTCTCATGTTTAGAACATATTATAAATCTAACACTAGGTATTTCTACTATAAATTATGTCTTAAATATTCTCTAAATAAATATATCATCTTTATCTAAACAATGTGTTCAACATTATAGTTGATCAAACAATTATAAGGCTAGATTCATTCAAAAATCGTTTGAAATCTGTGATCAAAACATTACCATATACTTGTTAACAGCCTAAAATAAATTTAAAGTACATGTACTTAAATAAGGATAACTTGCAAGGCAAGATAACATAAGCCAAGAAACATAAAACTTTTGATTAAATTGTTATCTATCTGTTATCAATTGATGTAAACTCTTACTTTAAACAAACTGATTGTGTTAAATGAATATACTATATATATATCTCTCTAGATCATTCAGGAAAGTCTTGTTAAAGACATACTGCTGTCAGAGCATAGATATACAGAACTTTTCTTAATTTCAATTACCAATAATTTACATTCATGATCTAAATTTAACTAGCCAAATGATAGATGAGCCTCAAGGACTGCAAGTATTTATAACAATACTTTTGTATGTAAGTTTTAAATTATGATTGGAACAAATAAACACAGGCAGTATATAGGAACGGAATTTCTTCGACCACAAAATGTACATGATTTGTATACAAATTGGCAACTTATCTTATTTGGCAATGAAAGAACAAAAACTTGGAGCACTAACAGTGGCGTTTCTATAAAGCATAACATGGCAGCCACATAACTGTCAAGGGGGGCATTTAAGAACTCAATGGTTTGAAATTTGAAATTGGGGGAGTCAAACCATAGAAACGCCACTGAGTACTAACTAATATAACAACATAACAGTAGATAGAGGCACATGTTTTAAACCGACCAACAAGGTATCATAACACACACACACATATATATAAAGGATTTTATTGTGTAGCACCTTATGATGCTTATGTCATGTCTTCGTCTGTTGTGCATCTTAGTTCTTTCTAATTACAGAAATAATTGCAACATTCCATATTTCATTTAGCTTTATTCAGGGATATATAAACACTGCAGTCTGTTATCTTTATAGACAACAGAATAATTTGGGCACTTGAACCATGCTCATTTCATCAGATCTTATATCTTCTTAGCACTTTTGGAACACGGTACATCTGTGAAGCTGGATATACATAATTCAATCACAGCTATTGCTATACACCACTCTAGCTGACTCTTTTTTCAAAGTTTATTCACATGTAAAGATAAAGTTCTGAAAACTTCATCAAAATGAGGTCTTTTTTCAGGTTCATATTCCCAACACCTTCTCATTAAAGTATATATTTCATCTGGTGTGCCAGCAGGAGGGGGCATCCTATATCCTGAAGAAAAAAACAAAAATTTTCCTGAGAGGAATTTTCAAGTGTCAATTAATATAGGGGTTGATTTGAAAAGTGAATGAATAGATGCACATCTAAAGTCTGATTGCCTACAGTCATCTGACCCCTTTTTGTCTTCATGACACTTATTCAAATTCTGTGGGGACTTCAGTTGCATCTTTTAAATATCAACATTGACCTTCATCTCGAAAACTAAGAGAAAATACAGTACTGGATGGGATAATAAAACTAAATATAAAATAAATATCAATTCTAGTAATTAATCAACAGATGGCCTGACTACAAATATCATGTTAAGTTCACTTTTCCAAAATAAGAACCCAGAATTTGAATGACTTTAACCTAATGTAACAAAAGCTTAAGTTAATAGATGTGATTTGGAACACTTGAAAATATTCATTCTAGTTGATAAGTTCTCATGAAGCACAAACATGAATACCTACCATCTTCAATTTTCTCTCTTGCTTGAGCATTAGTTGTACCAGTATATGGAGTAACACCAAAAGAAAATATTTCCCACATTAATATACCAAAACTCCACA